CGCATATAGACTTCTTCTTCTAAGTCACCATTAAGAAAGGCAGTTTTCACATCCATTTGATGTAGTTCGAGATCATACTGAGCTACTAATGCCATGATAATTCTGAGAGAATCTTTCCTTGACACAGGAGAAAAAGTCTCATTATAGTCGATACCTTCTTTTTGATTAAACCCTTTGGCTACAAGTCTAGCTTTATATCGTTCAATATTGCCATTACAGTCGAGTTTGGTCTTAAAGATCCACTTACACCCAACTGGTTTGTGTCCTTCAGGCAATGGAACAACATCTAAAACTTCATTATTAGCCATAGAGTTCATTTCATCCTTCATGGCATCAACCCACTTATCAGAATTAATATCCTTAATGGCTTGTGAATAAGAAACCGGATCTTTAATATTCACTTCTCCAGATTCTACTTGATAAAGTACATAGTCATTAGAAATAGCAGATCTCCTCGGACGAGTAGATCTTCTTAATGCTGGTTCCTCTTGTACTTGATTATCATTATTAGCGACGTTTTCTTCATGGAGTGTATGATCATTCACTGGATTTTCCTCATTGTTTAACGGTTCAACAATGGGAGGATTTCCAACAACTTTCGGAACTAAGGGTAAAGGAATATGCACCCGAATTTCCTGAATGACCACATCTTGAACTTTATCACTCCCACTAATTTCGCCATTCTCATAGAATCTAGCATTACCGGTTTCCACTATTCTTGTACTATGGGTTGGACAATAAATCCTATATCCTTTGGATTTCTCAGGATAACCAATAAAGTGACCACTGATCGTTCTGAAATCCAGTTTCTTTTCATGTGGGTTATATATTCTTGCTTCAGCTGGACATCCCCAAACTTGGAGGTGTTTCAGACTAGGTTTCCAGCCTTTCCACAGTTCAAAAGGAGTTTTCGGAACTGCTTTGCTAGGAACTCTATTCAAGATATAGACTGCAGTGCGTAATGCATCCATCCACAAGGATATAGGTAAGTTAGCATGACTCATCATGGATCTAACCATTCCCATATATGTACGGTTACGCCTTTCAGCTACACCATTCTGCCATGGAGAACCAGGCGTTGTGTATTGAGCAACAATTCCTAATTTTTGGAGAAGTTTGGCAAAAGGTCCAGGATGTTGTCCTGTTTCATCATACCTGCCATAAAATTCACCACCTCTATCTGACCTTATAATTTTCACTTTTCTATCTAATTGTCTCTCTACTTCAGTAATGAACACTTGTACAGCATCCACAGACTGAGACTTTTCATGCAATAGATAGAGATAACAATAACGTGAATAATCATCAATAAAGGTAATGAAATACTTTTCACCTCCAAAAGATGGAACGTCAAAAGGTCCACAAATATCTGTATGTATGATTTCAAGAAGCTGTGTACTTCTTGTGGCACCTTTCTTTGTGTGTTTAGTTTGCTTACCCTTAATGCAATCTACACACTCTTTATTGTTGGTAAAATCAAGATTTGGAATGACTCCATCTTTTACCAACCTTTTTATTCTTTCGCTGGAAATATGTCCCAACCTTTTATGCCACAAGAAATATGAATCTTTCGCACATGTTTTTCTTTTAAGTTCATGATTACCATGCAGGGTGAGATGTGTTTCGGAAGATTGATCAGCCAATATTAACATATAAAGACCATCAACTAATTTTCCAAAACCAATTCGATTAGATTTCATAAATAAATTGAAACAACCATCTCTTTGAGTTGAACTAAAACCAGCCAAATCAAGTTTGCTTAATGAAACTAAATTACGGGAAATAGATGGAACATAAAGAGTCTGAAATAAATCCAAACAAAATCCACTATCCAAAATGAGACGATAAGTGCCAATAGCTTCAACTGGCGCTTTGTCTCGATTCCCCATAAACAAGTAGTTTTCACTTGGATTTATGGTCTGGGTTGTAAGGAATCCCTGCAAGGAATTGGTTACATGTACATTAGCACCACTATCAATCCACCACGTTTTAGAAGAAACATGAGTAAGATTAGATTCGAAAAAGCTTACGAAACCCATAGGATTACCTTTCTTTTCAAACCACTCTTTTCTTTTAGGGCAATCTTTCTGAAAGTGGCCAGACTTCTTGCAGAAGTTGCATCTATCATCTTTCCTTGCCTTTTTCTTCTCGTTACCTTGATTAGAATCATTCATTCTGGGTTGTGCTCTTTTATGGCTCACTTGATGCCTTTTCCCAGCATTAGGTACAGCTCCATGGGCATAATGGGCAACTTTTATACCTTCACGGTCAAGTCTAGACTCCTCTTGCACCAACTTATTAGCCAATTCATTAGACGTCCACTTTTGAGTTATGGCGTTGTAATGAATTTGGAATGGTCCATACTGAGGAGGTAAAGAGTTTAGGATAAACTGGACAAGAAATGAATCATCCACACTCATTCCTAAACCCTTAAGCTTAGCCGCAAGGTTAATCATATCCATGCAATGATCATGCATAGACCTTGTGCCATCATGCTTCATAGTTGTAAGATCTGCCATAAGTTTCCCAGCAAGGGATTTGTCTGCAGTCTTAAACCGTTCAGCTAGTGTATCAAGATAAGCCTTAGCCTTTTCACTAGGTGGAAGGGAAGATTTGATGTTACTAGCAACTGTCATCCTAAAGAACATAATGCTCAGTCTGTTCGATCTCTCCCAAGCCTTATGGAGAATCTTTTCTGCCTCACTACTAGTGTCAGTAAGTGGACCTGGCTCCTCTTCACGAAGTGCCAAGTCCAAATCTAGTACTCCTAATGTGAACTCAACTTTCTCTTTCCATTCTGAGAAGTTGGTTCCATTGAGGGTTGGAACACCAGAGACCATGGATGACAAGTTATCAGGAAAAGATGCTGTAAAATTTTCAGAGATACAATTAGTTTTTTGATTAGGCTTCAAAACATAATCAACATATAAGTTTCAATTATATAATAAACATGAAGTAAATTATGATGTTCCTGTGGGTAACCACCATAACCATGCTATTCAACAAATTGAGTAATGTATTAACTTAATTAGACTAAGTTATCTGTGGATATCCTTAATCTACACATATACATACTCATAATTCTTTTATATCTAATGTGGGTAACTTATTATCACAAAGATATATCTAAATAATGATTTCATGATTTCATTATGCAAAACTTTATAAGGAAAGGTCACTGTGGTGAAATCCAAACCTAATTATGCACTTTTATTGAAATCAGATTTCTGTACGAATTATGCACAGATTGTTTGTGCACGAATTATCACAAAATTAATTTGCCCAGATTATGAACAGAACGATTATGTACACATTATCACTTATAAAATTTTGCACGAATTATGCACGAAAGCGATTATGTAAAAATTATCACAGAATAAAATTTGTACGAATTATGCACAAAACGATTATGTACGAATTATCACAGAATAAGTTTGTACCAATTATGCACAGAACGATTTAATATGATGTACGAATTTTGCACATATCTGTTTCTCTGATAAAACATAATTCAGAAACACACGAATTTTGCACGCACGAATTTAATCATAAACTAAGGTTTTATTTTTAAGAAACCTAATTCCAAAGACCCGAATTATGCACGCCCGGATTTTTTTTTCACATACTTTAAGAAAAAAAAAAACCCGAAATTTGCACAGAAAAATCAAACATAGATTTATATATGCAGGTCTCTAATTTTATCATACTTAATGAATTAATCATATGCTTATAACCATGCTCTGATACCACATGTAAGTGCAATTTACATGAACCCTAAGATCTTTTAAGCAACATGATTAATCACATGATAAAACTGTAAAGGAGGGTTAGCGGAGTACCTCCATTCATTGTAACTGAGATTCTTGATGAACGGTTTCCTGAAGTCTTGATCTCTTAGTTAGGTTATTAGGTTTCTCTCTCCTTGCCTATAAACTTACTTTATGTGTTGTGTTTGTGATTTCTTTTTGGGATGCCTTTATGATGGACTAAAGGCATATATTTATAGGCGGAGAGAGGACCTAGTTCCTCTTTAGGGTTTCCTTAAGATTTAATCTCAACCGTCCATCAAAGTAGAGATTGATTAGGAAAAACTCCATCATTATCTATTTAATTAGTTACCAAATATATTAAAGAATAACATTATTCCATAGAAAACGGATAACTACAAGACCACATAATAGGGGAAGGAAATATTCCTTACAATCTTTGCCCAAAAGTTTCTGACTTTGGCCTTGCTAAGCTATGCGAGAAGAAAGAGAGCATCATGTCACTGCTAGATACAAGAGGGACAATAGGGTACATTGCACCTGAGATGATCTCTCGAGCTTATGGAAGTGTGTCTCACAAGTCTGATGTATATAGCTATGGTATGTTGGTTCTTGGAATGATCGGTGCAACAGATAAAGATCGAGTCGAAAAGGATGCTTCTAATACAAGCTCGATTTACTTCCCGGACTGGATCTATAAAGATCTTGAGAATGGGAAGCAATGTAAGCTTCTTGGGGATGAACTAACCAAAGAAGAAGAAGAAATAACAAAGAAGATGATCTTGGTAGCCTTGTGGTGTATTCAGTCGTCTCCATCAAATAGACCATCGATGAACAGAGTTGTGGAGATGATGGAAGGAAGCTTAGATGCTATTGAAGTCCCTCCTAAGCCTGTTTTGCATTTACCGGGAGTACCTCTTCAAGATTCGTCTACACTTTCAGAGGAAATCTCGGTGTACGCAGAAGTATGATCCAAAACAACGACCTTGGCTCTTTTACCTAGTAATGGATGAAGCTCAAAGAATTTTTCTTTCTTTGCCATATATTTGGTTTTAACTCTATAGATTATAATTTTAAATCAACATCTATACTAAAAAAATCTCATTACATCTACAATATTTATTGTACTATGTTAGAAAAAAATTATTAAGTGAATTTATATCTAGCACTTTTAAAAGTTAGAGCAATAAACCTACAAGTGAATGTAAATAATGATTGTAATTCATTAACCTCGAATAAACAGATTTCAAAATTGATATGATCACTTTCTTGAAATTGTTGCAGCAAAACAAAATATTATGTCATGTGGAGTAGTATTAAGATGGAAACAGAGGCGTGTATTCGTCTACGTCATTAACTAAACTTTTATGTTTGTTCTTGTTCAACCTAAATATTCGATGATAGTGGTAAGGAACTGATCAAATTAAGTATTTAACTATAATTGGCTTTTCCTAGGCCAGTTTTGTAAATTCTTATAGAGCCTCTTCAAGAACCATTAGTCATCTCAGAGGGTATTTCGTTTTACACCAATGTATGATCCATGATTGTTGCGTAAATAAAGAAACCTCGTTGTAATAAACTATTAAAGCATGAAAAACCACATATACAACATATCAAAGTAATAAATTATAATATGCAAAATTTAGGCTGTTTTAAATTACTAACGAACTGACAAAAGAATAATTAGAGGGCAAAATTCACAGAAATTTTACATGCATTTATTAACTTTCAGCACTATCCTTTATATAAAGATTTCCAAATATATATTCTATCAAGGTTTCTTCACCTTCTTTGGAAGTTGAGGAACTTGATACCATAGGCAAAGACAAAAAGAAAGAGCAAGATCCAAGCAATGTGGACAACAGCTACAACTGGTAAGAAATCGTATTCAAACCCAAATCCTTCTTTCAGCAACGTTTTCAGACCTATGTCTCCGATTCCAGTGATGTGCACCATTGAGTCCTTGTCTCCTACTTGAGATGTGATGATTCCATACAATGTCCAAGCCACAGGTGTTGCCCAGTAGTACCATCTCCACCATATTGGTATTTGCTATATTTCAATCCAAACAAAAAAAAAACTTAAAATTTAAGCTCTTAAACACTTTTGTTGATAGTATCAAATGTAAGTAGCTTAACATACCGGTCTAGGGATGAGGAAACCGGAGAAGAGATTCCAGAGACTCAGGAAGAAAGACAAGCAAATTCCGGCTATATAATAGTTAGGTGTCAAGGCCATAAGCATCATACCATATAGTGTAAAGTAGATGAAGCTTGTTAACATGTAGTAGTAGAACCACAAGAATTTGGTCACAGTCCAGTTGCATCCTATCATTGAGTACAGGATTAGCGTGTAAACTCCCGTTTGTATCGTGTTATACATGATTTCCACTGCTACCTGCACCATGTTTTAAATTCATTTAGGTTTGAGTTCTGATTGTTGTCAAACTATATTTAAGAAAATTATATTAGAATGCTTTTAACCTGAGAAATTGCATAGGGAATGGCAGAGTACATTCCAGCTGCTTTTTCGCGGTAGAAAACTGTTCGCTCGATGGCGATTGCGGGTTGAACTGTGGCAGCGTTGGTGGCACCAAGAAACAAAACAGCAGCATACATGGCTCCAAAGAAATTATTCACATCTTGTTCGTTCTCTCTGTTTTGGTTTAAGATGAATCCGTCACGTTTCAATACAATGATGGTTTAGTAATGTATAAGAGGAAGGGAAAAAATGTCTTACATTTTTGTTCCCATTTGCCAGAAAATTAGACCAAACATGACACCAATTATTACTGTCATGAGAAACCTGATGGCATTGTACTGAGGATGTCTCCAGTATGACCAGTACTGCTTCCAGAAGCAAGCTTTAGTTTGAGTAAAAAACGGTTGCGCATACTTTGTTCGGAAGTAAAGATCCTTTGATCCAGGTGGTGGTGTACTTAGCTCTTTGATGAGTTCTTGATTTCTCCTGTGTTAAACATAAGTGTTCAGATTAAAAAAGACAGTGTAATTCTCTGCTTTATTAGTAGCAATTTTCGTAAGCATACTGATAAAGAGAGGAGTTGGTGAATATTTGAGCAAAGTCCAAGCTCATTTGTGACTCCATTGAAGGAGTAGTAACGTCAAGCATCCACGTCGCAGGATTGTATCCGTCTTTGATCTTTGGAACACCTTCAACAGCCTGCAAGTAGAGTTCTTGATACAGTTAGTTCCATGATATATATCTATGGCCAAGATATTTTAAAAAGATGATTCACCTCAAAGTATTCAATTAGTTTCTGAGAGTGATGCCCTAGGCTTCCAGCATATATAACTTGGCCTCCTCGTTTCATCAACAGAAGCTGCATTAACCAAGGATGATTTAAAAAAAAAAAAAAAATTTGTTCTGTTTCTTTGACCAAAAAAGGATTTTTTCGAGGCAAACCTCATCGAAGGATTCGAAAATGTCGATGCTAGGCTGGTGAATTGTACAAACAACAGTTCTTCCGGTATCTACGGTATTCCTAACAGTGCGCATGACAATAGCAGCAGCTCTTGCATCAAGACCAGAAGTTGGTTCATCCATGAAGATTATTGATGGGTTAGCTACCAATTCAACTGCAATAGTAAGCCTTTTCCTCTGTTCTGTTGAAAGACCATCTACTCCAGGAAGGCCAACTATAGAGTTTCTAAGGGGTTTGAGCTCAACCAAATCCATCACTTCTTCAACAAACATCTATCAATCACATAAATTAAGCAAATGAGTTTACTTGTTTATAAAGTCTTGCGTGCGATTATGATTTTTCATAATATTACCTCTCGTGTTTTGGCATCTATATCAACTGAAAGACGAAGCCAAGCTGAATAGATGAGAGATTCATAAACAGTAACATGTGGAGAATGGATATCATTTTGTTCACAGTAACCACTGACTCGAGCAAATGTTTCTTGCTTCTTAAGGTAACCAGAGATGCTAATACTCCCTTCGGTGTAGCCACCTGTTTTCCTACCAGCTAAGACATCCATTAACGTTGTCTTACCTGCACCACTAACACCGACCAATGCTGTCAATATGCCTGGTCTGAAAGCTCCACCAACGTCTCTTAGTAATTGAAGGCGATCGCTTTTAATTCCTTGAGCCTTCATTTCCTGCAATATTTTGAAGGGAAGAGCTTATGAAATTTAAGACTAACGTAACTGGTGACGTCTAAATAGTATGAGATGATGTTGCTTACTGCAGGCATATCCACATAGTAGTTCACATTGTTGAATGCAAGAGAAAGTGGTTGGAAAGGTAAAACCAATCCTCTTTTTGTACCATTACTTAAAGAAATATTGAGTTCCACAACAGAACCTGCAACTTCTAAGCATCTAGTCAGAAAAACAAGAAACATAATCTAGTGCGAAACCGACATAATATTCGAGTAAGAAAAGATAGCTGTATAAAGATTAGAGTTGTCAAAGATAACCTTCTGTTCCTTTCTGTTTTTCTTTACCTTCTTCCACAACTGTAGCTTTGGAGTTACCAATAGCTGAAGATATATATATTGTTTCAAGACCATGTCAACTAAATAATGATTCTCTTTAATAGTCTAAAATAACTTGAAACTTAGAAGTAAGAGCACTTACGATTCAAATACATCAAGGCTAGTATGTAACAGATATTGAACAACAGAGAAAATCCAAGAAGCGCCACAATACTGATCCAAAACCAATATGGCTCCGTGAAGAAGCCTCGGCTCTTAAGTAAGACTTCTCCAACTGTTTTCGCGTTGATGGTGGTATCATAGTTAGGCTGCATCATGTAACAGAACATATTTTCATCACTATTGGTAACAGAGTAGTGAACAAGAAAAACACTTGGTGAAATCTTACACTGCTCCATCGCTCATCGAGAAATTCATTCATAACAATAGCAGTTTGTCCATACATCATAGGGGACAAATAATAAGCCCAAGTCATCCACGGTTGCATATCATCTGTGAATCGAAAAATGTAAAATATGTTTTTATACTTTAAAAATATCATAGAGATAGTTGAAAATGATATCTAAGAGACACTACAAAATGGGATGATGTTTATATGATGTTTGAGGATCATTTGCTTACCTTTAGCAATAATGAAGCCTCCAAGAGTAAATACAGTTAGCAATGTGAAGGTCCCTATTGAGTTAGAGATTACTTCAGTTCTTCCAATGGCTCCAATCAATCTAAACAAAGAAAGAGCCATCTGATTCACGCAGAAGTATGCCAACAACTGCCGGAAAAACCTAATGGTATACAATTTTTGGTTAGTTCAAGTAACTGAAAATATAAGCATATGAAGAAATTTTCTTAGTATCTTCCTGAGGACTAGAAGAAAAAGCTAATGTACCTTACAGCAGAAGGAGCAAAACCGATTGTATAATATGTAAGACCGATCCATATTCCTGATTCGATTATAGATAACGGAATCTTCAGAAGCCATACGGGTAAGGCGAAAGCCCATGGAGGATAGAACAATAAGTCTCTCTGCTTGTAAAACACTGGGAGCCTCATTACAGTGAATGCTAGTTCACCTAGTCCATTAAACATTACATTGACCAAGCTGAAAAAAAGAGCACCATAAAACTTTTGACCATCTTGCACCGTGCCGACATGCATTTCTGTCCTGAGATAGACCGTCATGGTAATCAAAGACATGATGGTTATCTGGACGGTCTTAAACACATACACAAAGGAGTTGCGTCTCATAAGTAGCCATTCTCTATCAAAGCATGCTTTGAAGAGTTCCCAGTTTGATATACCATACTTTTGTGTGACTAGTGCAGCAGAATGGGTTTTAGCTTTGTCATAAGGAACCCTGAATTCTGAAGTGAGTTCTTGCCCGGTGTGAAAAGAGTTAAACCCGCTTGAGAAATCACTTACGGACACATAGCTGTAAGGTTGTTCTTTCCTGTCCCAATACTGTTCTTGGTCCTTCTTAGATGTTACTTCTTGCAAGAAATCTGCAACGCCTTTCCTTTCAGGACATTGGAAACCCATGTACTCAAAGAACTCAAGAACGTTGTCCCGTGAGCCCTGGTAGACGATTCGTCCCTCTGAGAGTAAGATAATGTCGTCGAATAGCTCAAAAGTCTCTGGTGCAGGTTGTAGAAGTGATATAATCATTGTGACATCCGAGATATGAACTAGTTGCCTCATGTACTTGCAAATTTGGAATGTTGTGGAACTATCCAAACCTGTTGATATTTCATCCATGAAGAGAGCTTTTCCTGGTCCTACCAACATCTCTCCTGCTCAATCAAGATTAAGAGCAATCCAAGTTTACGAACACGTCTACATTGTTACTGTAATGAAACATGGTTATATCAAAGTGAACATATGCATGTAATACTCAAAACTTTACCTGTTGTTAGACGTTTTCGCTGTCCACCAGAAACACCTCGTCTCATTACGTCTCCAACAAGTATGTCAGCACATATGTTTAGACCAAGTATCTATCAAATTGACATTAACCATAGATAAGCTCAAAATATTTTTATTTTTACTTTGTTAGAGAAAACACAAGTAACTTAATTACCTTAAGTACATAATCTGTAACCAAACTAGTTTCTTGCCCTGATATCGCAATAGATTTCATGAACGCATCAATTTTAGGGTCTGGTTTAATTCCCTCTTCTCTTTCCCTCCGTGAGAGCTCAGCCATCAACTGGTACCTAATCCCAACACCTAGACATCGTCCCGAGAAATCCAGTGTCTCTCTCACCGTCATTTCTCCAAAGTGAAGGTCATGTTGACTAATGTAAGCACACGTCTTTTGAGGAACAAACTCGTGAAACTCATGACCGCAATAAGTTATCCTCCCCGACATCTATTTGCCATTTCCGGGTCAGAAAATCTCAACTAAGAGCTTTGAGTTTATTATATTAACGTCTGATAGATAACAAACCTGGAGGGTATCATCGAGCTTCCCAGCCAAAGCTTGTAACAAAGTTGTTTTGCCTGAACTTGGTGGACCAAGTAACAAGGTCATCCTGGACATGCTCAACAATATAGTATCTCAAACTCAAATACTATGGCAACGCAACACATTCACATTTTCTTTAGTTACCTTGATGGTTTTATAATGCCACTGATATCTTTAAGTATCTGAATCTTCTTCTTTTTAGTTGGAAGGAAGTGGAAGAATCCTAGAATGCTCTACATACATAAAACAAAAAAACAAAAATTAAGTAAAGCTTCATCATTGTTTATATGTTAAATAAGAGCTTCGAAATTACCCCATTATAAGTGTCATAAATTTTGAATATATATAATTTGGAGTTGAGAGATCTTATTTGTGAAACTTAGATCTTATTTTTTTTAACAAAATAACACAACCCAATAGAAATAAATTAAAAAATTTGAACCTCTATTGTATTCAAGGTAACATTGAGTAGAGTTGGAAGTGCTCTACTTGCACTACACACATCTCCTTCCACTGAAATGTTCTCATACCTAACTTCAATTTTTGGAACTTGGATCCCAACTCTGTTTTCGAAAAATAAAATCCAAAATTTTCAGCTAAAATATTATAAATAAAGGGTTTGTCTAAATTTTTGTTTTTGTAATATATATACTATACCTGTCTGTTCTTTCTCTCAATCCACGTAGAAACTTTTCATTGTCTTCTTCAACAACACTCAAAATCATATCTATAAGTTGCTTCTTCTCCTTAGGTTCGAGCCTTGAGATATCAACATCCTCAAGCTCAATCTTACCATTGACCTTTGTTTGTGGCAACATGCTTCTACGTAGCCGATCAAAGGTCGGCAATCTCTCAATCGCGGCCCAACGGAGCTCGACGTCCTCTTCCTCCTGCCTTTCGCTCTTCCCAAACACCTCGTCCGCTGCCTGAGACACAAACACATCTTTAAACCTTTTAGAAGCTCCCACCAAACTCCTGTGGCTGGTCGAGGCCAAACTCACTCTCCCGCTCATTGTCCCGACCGGATCATCATCTCGTCCTCCTAGCATTGCGCACTACAAAGAAGTGGAGATTTGTGATAGTCATCAGTACCATCTGCCATCATTTAAAAGAAAGAGTGTGAAACTTGGAGCCTCCAAGGTGAGAGAAGAGGCGGGATAAAAAAAGTCTTGATCCAATAATGAAGACATGCACGTACAACAATAATGATAAGTATCATCATAACCATAATCATTTAATACTACTTAGTATCAAGAGTCCCGAAATAAGTGAAAATACAAGCCATGTGCACGGAAAAAAAGAATTCTACATGACTAAACTTATCGATACTCACGTTATAAGACTTTACAACCTTTATAAGGAAACATTTATAAATTACTAAACCAAATCTTAACGAAGGAAAATTTTTACTAAAATTTTAACAGTAAATGCATGCACATTATAATAAGATTAGACCTGTCAAAAAATTCAAAAACTTTCATTGCACGATAGGTTCACCAAATTCACCATTTTAATTCATTAATCTTTCAAAGGTAATTAAACAACTTTTGCTTCATGTATAGTTTTATGGATCTCATCGTTTCCCCAACAATATTCATTAAATCATTCTTACTGTATGTTGTTGTTGAAGATATTCAAACTGAATTAACAAAGGAAAACGAAGAGAAAAGTTAATGATGATTTCTTGGAAAAGTTGTCATTTTTTTAGGTTGTAGTCCTTAAATGCTCAAATCAAAATTTGGCCATCTTTGTTTACTCATATGTTATTTTCATTTAAATGCTTTATTTGGATGTCTTGTTGACTTGTAGTCATTAATTACAATTTGTTATTGTTCACCTAGTAGATAACATCTGAAAGAACTTAAGTTTGTTTAGTTAAGTCTTCTTCTTTACTACGTCAGGAGTCTCATATATCACTATCTAAATTGGTGACACTCGAGAAGGCGACAACTAACTAAATTGGTTCCTTTAGTTTCCCCTTTTGAATAAATTCTTAACAAACGTTTAAATTGTTAACAAACTAAGAACCAGTCCTCGTTCGGATCAACGTTTCGGTCCTGATCATTAAGATGTTGAGATTATTATCCATTTGCTTTTTTATTATTATTATTTTGGTTAGATTCGGTTTGGTTTTGTTTTGGTTTTAGATCTTGAAAGAAAAACCGATCTAAACCCAAATTATTTTCGGATATATTTGAGTTTTGGTTCTAAACGACAAGTTTAGATATTTTGTGGTATTTCGGTTTGGATATTTCGGTGTTTTTATAGTATTGTTGGATATTTTTGTTCAGTTTCAAATTAGGTATTTGGATATTCTAGAATTTTTGTTTTTTTGGTTTTTATTTAGTTTCGGTTCCTTTAACTTAAACACATTCAATTCGGTTTTTTCGGTAGGACTATGAAGAACTCTTAAATGCTTAAGGACAATGAAACATTCACAAAAGATGAGGGCAATATTGGATTTACCAAGTTTTCTTTTGCCATGATATGAACTGTTTATTAATTGATGTATTAGTATTCAAGAAAAAAGAAATTTGTATATTCTTTTCTGGAAGATATTTAATTGGTGTATTTTATAACTATTTTTTTTTTAATGAGGTTGATAACGGCCCATCAACTTCACGTACGACACATCATGAATTCATGATTCATCAGCATTACGGTGCCTAATATTAGTGTTCCGTAACCATCAATTACGTGGGACAACTTTTCATACTTCATGTATCATCATGATTCTTGCACTAGTACTACTATTAGTGTTCCCCGCAATTTCATTAACTAAAGCTTTTTACAGTTTGCTATGGTAAACAATTTCTAAAGTTTAATATAATGAAAAAAGAAAGAAGTTTCAACTTGACATGTGACACCCCACTTGACATGTTCGGATGGTCCTCATGTCACTCTCACCCCACTTGACATGGTCCTGAGGACTGCTTCTGTCTCTCTCTCTCTCTTTCTCTCAACACAAAAACTAAGAAGACACATTGTTCATGAACCAAGCAAATCATGTACCAACTTCTTCCCAGTTCTTGTCTGGTCATATTCTTAATCTTCTACTCATTTCACATTCTTCCTTGTGATTCAAGTAATCAGGGAACTGGCTGGTGTGAGACTCTGTTCCAATGTGGTAACATCACTGCTGGTTTCCCTTTCTCTGGAGGGAACCGTCACAAAGATTGTGGTCATCCATTGCTTCAGCTTCACTGCAACAAAAACAACATCACCACTCTTTCCATCTCAAACCAAAAGTACTCTGTTCTCCATATAGATCAAACATCCAACACTCTAACACTTACCAAACCAGACCTTATAGGTTCTTTTTGCTCCTCTGTATTCACAAACACAACCTTACCTCCCGAAACTTTCGAGCTTTCACCTACTTACAAGAGCGTCAACGTATTCTACCAATGCTCCTCTTTGCCTCCTGATCTTTCTAGCTATACATGTCCCAAGATTGGTCCAATCTCAGTGTCTGAAACCACTGTAAAAACTCCTGAGAGCTGCCGTTCCAGTTTCACCGTGAAGGTTCCTACAAGTTTTGTTACAACAGAGAAAGAGTTGAATGTGACGAATTTGGAAAGTGTTTTAAGAAAAGGATTTGAGGTGAAGGTAGTGGCGATCAATGATAATGTGTGTCAAGAATGTTTATCCTCTCATGGAAGATGTCATGTCTTCAATGAATACTTAACACCAGGAGTTAAGTGTCATCCACCTAAAGGTATGTTTCATATATAGAGTTATCTTCTTGTTCTAATTTTTTCTCTAATATATTTGGACTTTGTTTTGCAATGTACATAGACTCTGAGGGTACTTGTGGATATAATCAGACCTCAAGTACGTTTCTCTGCTATTGTAAAGACCCCTATAGCTTAACATGCGGTTCTAAGAGGAGTAAGGTTTCTTTCATTGGATCACTTTACCAAAAAAATAAAAAGCAATCTTCAGTTTCACATTTGTGGTTTTTAAGTTCTGTATTAACTTTATCTTTGATGCCATTTGATTGATGCAGAATCATTTGTTCCTTGGATAATAGGTACATAAGTACATAAACTGTCTTCTTTGAGTTAATTGTTCTTTAATGATTTACTTTGGTTCTATGCTAACAATTGTTTTTTACATGTTTAATGTTTCTATAGGGGCTGTGTCGATCTTGATTCTCATAGGTTAGTTTGCTGTCCAGAGATGTTGATCTTGATTCTCATTACTTAGTTTGCTGCTTTTTGGTTTATATTACAAAGTCACTAACCAAATATTCTCTCTGTTTTTTTCTATATTGGTTTTGACTATCAGGTGTTTTTGTTTGCCTGGGTATTCGTAATAAGGTGCTGGTTGGTCGAGTATTTAATACTCGAAACAGTTAACCGTAAGGTAATATATGCGAGGTCGATCAAAAGGAGCAAAATTACTCTAAAGATTTGCGAGACTCATTCTTAGTTAAAGCGGAAAAGGTTATTTGTTTTGTTTTCAGAGTTTTATTAAACTTATGAATAAAGTATCAACCTGTGAATTGTGTTCTTGTATATTCTGATACAGGTTCTATATTTATTATGCAAATAACATTTACAGACATATATTTATTGAATATGTTCTCTAGAGATTATGACCTTTACAACAGTATTTTTTTCACAAACTTGGAAGGTTATTATTTTCAATCTCAGAGATGCTTGAAGTTTCTTCTGATATCCAAGAAGATTCAAGATCAAGAGGTACGACAGGAATTTGCTGCAAAACAGGTCTTGGTGGCACTTCAAGAGCACCCAAGTTTCCTTCCATCATCTCTACTACTCTATTCATCGGTGGACGGTTTGATGGAGAAGACTGAATACACCACAATCCCACCAATGTCATCTTTTTTGCTAGCTCCTCTTCTTCACTGCTGATTCCATTCCCAATATACTTTCCAATGTTTCCCTTTTCAAGATCCTCATTGTCTCCCTTCTCAAGATCCTTATAGATCCATTCTGGAAAGTACATTGAGCTAGCGTCCGATGCAAAAGTGTGACCATATCTTTCTTTCTTCCGTGCACCCAACATTTCGAAGACCAACATTCCGTAGCTATAAACATCGGACTTGTGAGAAACACTTCCATAAACTCGAGAGACCATCTCTGGTGCAATGTATCCTATTGTACCTCTTGTTTCCATCATTGACAAGATGCTTTCCTTCTTCTCACACAATTTAGCAAGTCCGAAATCAGAAACTTTGGGCGAGAGATTATCATCCAACAGTACATTTTGAGGTTTAATGTCGAAATGCACAATCCTTGTTTTGCAGCCATAATGCAAGTACTCTAGACCACGAGCTACTCCTAGCGCGATCCCATAGAGTGTCGTTAAATCCAACTTCGTTGACATATTCTCCGAGATGAACTTATCGAGCGACCCATTCTCCAAAAATTCATAAATAATTGCTCTCTTTGAACCTTCAGAACAGAAACCAAGCAAGGAAACAATGTTGACATGAGATGTTTGGCTCATGCTGGAAACTTCATTGATGAAGTCTTCACTATTATTACCCTTTGATTCTTTCAGTACTTTCACCGCAACCATACGACCATCACAAAGGGTTCCTTTATAAACTATGCCAAATCCGCCTTTCCCAACCACTTCCGCAAATGACTTTGTAATTTTCTTCACTTGTGCATAAGTATAATGTTTTAGTGGAATAAGGGCCTTTAGCTTCTCTTGTCTCCGATCATCTGATGTTTTTCTCTTCCGGAATATTTGGACTTTGCAACAAGGACACAATAACACCAAGCATGCAATTATACCTACTATTGTACACAAAACTATAAGAAAAGAAAAAAAAACAGAGGAAATCTTTAATTAGTAACTCTTTTTGATCAAAGCAATTTGAAATATCTCTAGGCACCAAACTTACCAATGAGAATACCAATGATCTGTAACACTGTAGAACAATATAAACAAGTAATATTTATCAGCATATAAACCAAACAAACATTAACTCAAAGATGATAAAATTAGTCTTTCAAAGAAGGTTAAGCACCTATTGGATACTGTAACAACCGAAAAAACAAACCTGCAAACAACCAGAAACCAAAATAAGTTGGAATTGAAGACAAAACTTTGACAACTAAAAAACTTTAAACTATAGATAAAAGATATGTTACCATTTAATTCAAAATCGCATTGATAGTCTTGCGGTCCATCTTTACAATAGCAGATAAACACACTTGAGTTCTGACTATTATATCCACAAGAACCGCCGGACAAAACACATACGGAACAATTCGAATTATCGAGCTCGAAACCCTGTTCAAGAGCCTTTTGTAGATTATATGTATTTGGATTTCCCTGAAGTGTTTTTAAAGCCGGTCCAGAGGCAGGAACACTGACTTTTCTTTTGCACATTCCCCTAAAGTTGTTTAAAACGCCTCTAAACCTGTCAAGTAAAGGTGATGAGAGGTTTTTAGTTACATAATAACTTTTTCCGCTATCACAGCCAAACTCTCCAGTGTAGCTAGTAGCCGAACTAACCGATGAATTTAGTTGGCATTCGTAGTATAATGTCAGCAGCTCTGTGTCAGAACTGAACTGAAGGACGTTTTCGATAAGCGGTTCATTTAGTGGATTTGAAGGACAAAGATCGCCGATATAATCTGATCTGGCTAGCCTTATGATAATAGAATCATTGCTCATATTTAAGACTCTGAACTTCACTGAGGCGATGTTAAGTTCTGCTAATTCTCCTCTACAGTCGAGTTTGAAGTCAGGGTGGCCACAGTATTCTCTGCCAGGTACCCAAAAAGGGTAATAGAGATCGCGCTGATCTCCGCAGCTAAACTTTTCGCTGCAGCGTCGCTTAAGCTCATCAGCTGAAAAATGAAACAAAAAATGGGATCACAAAGACCATCCTCTTATGTTTAGGAAACTGGTGACAAAGGATTAGTCTAAGAACTTACCACTAGGTTGAGGGTGTGGAAGGCAACTAACACCACCAGATGGTGAGGTTACGTTGCAGCAAACCTGTGTGGTACTGCTGAAACCACAGATTCCTTGAGTGGATGAACATTCTTGACATGGTATCTCATCGATCACTAGCTTCATCTCAAACCCTTCTCGTAGAGTACTTTCTAAATTGGTCAAATTTAACTCTTTCTCCTCTGGAACAAAACTCGTTGGAACGTTAACTGTGAAACTGTCTTGGCAGGAATACTTGTAATCAAGGCTTTGAGACATTGAAAAAAGACCTAGATCTGGACATGTATAACTTGAGCGGTAAGATAACTTAGGATCACAGTTGTATAAAACATTGAGGCTCTTATACGTTGGGGAAAGCTTAAAGATCTCGTGGGGCAAGGTTGCGGTTTTGAATTTAGCGGAACAAAAAGAACCTAAAAGATCTGTTCTAGCAAGTCTAAGAGTATTACGTGTTTGATCTATATGAAAGACATTGTACTCATGGTTTGAGATGCTTAGAGAGGTGATGCCGTCTTTGAGGCAGCGAAGCTCCAGTAACGGATGACCACAAGGTTTGAGACGATTCCCACCCCAGAAGGGGAAACCAGCAGTGAGATTACCACATTGGAACAGAGCCTTACACCAACCAAGGTCTTCTTTACTTACAACACAAGGAAGAGGGTGGAATGAAAAGAAGAGGAAGAACAAGACCAGACAAGAAGTGGTGAGGGAATACATTGTTTGTTTGGGAACTGTTAACAGTATGTCTTCTAGGTTTGGTTTGTGTTTAGAGGAGAAGAGCATGCCAAGTTAAGGTGACATATACATAAAGACGAAGAGCTTTTCTAATCAAATTGCTTTACTAGTTGACTATGAAAGACTTGGGGAAATAAAAACATAAATCTCAAGTGGAGTATTATTGAAATATTTTTTACTTTTGTCAACGATCAAAACACTTCTCGTAGCTAACAACAAATTAATGTTTTGGATATGTGATCCCTTGAATATTTAAAAACAAGTAAATAGTGCAACCATGCGATAAACAAATAATTTCCACATTCTGTAAACTGACTTCATAATTGTGAACTTAATTAGATGTACTAATTAAATGTGACAATAATTGGATATGGAAACTATTTTTTTACTCTAAAAATTTAATGTCAAGTAGACCAACTAGGTGAGAATTTAATCCAATAAATTTCATTAAAGTACTTAGAATATGCAATAGCACATTCAACAATTTAGATGTATGGACTCATTACATGTGACCACAATTATACATGTTTCTTGGGGAAAAGACTTTTACAAATAATATAAGATCAAAACCTTTATTTTACCCAACCAATTAAAAAGCATAATATTGGTTAGACCTCAGTACAATTTATTTGGCCATTCTCTATGCAAGTTCTTAGATTACAACTATTCTAATAAGTTTTTTTTCTTAATGTTAGATGATAACTTTTGTAAAATATGGTTAGACTACTACAATCAGAAGTCAAACCAAAATTGAATCTAAAGATGGTGCAAGTCTAGCAATGGAAATCATTTCCAAATATTCCAAGTACACGAGTTTACATGATAATCTATTATTGTGGTTATGGCCTTGGAGTCAGAGACATGAGTCACAAGAATTTGGACGGTGCACATCACTAGAGTCAGAGCCATGATTCTCAAAACGTTTCTCAAGTAAGGATTTGGGATGGAACATGACTTTCGACTCTTTCTAGTATGGTAAAACGTAAAAACTTATATCTTTTGAAGTAATTTTTAGATGAAGTTTATCAGTTACTATAAGCTTATTACTCAAGTATTAAATCAGGAACCTAAGTTCTTGACAGACCAAATAATTGAGAGTGTGAACCTAAGTGTGAACCTAAGTTCTTGACAGACCAAATAATCATAACTATAACTGAGAGTGTGAACCTAAGTTCTTGACCAGACCAAATAATTGACTTTTCCAAACAAACTTTGTCAGCTTTAGAACAAATAGAATAAGGAGATAAGAGATAGTATGGTATAGCTTTATCGGCAAGTCACTCTCAATACAACTGAAGCCAATACTTAAAATCAAAATAATTGACAAATACTGTTTTTTATGGTCAACTAATAAAAGACATGTGGTATAAAAAGATTCCAAATCTCTCTGTCTCTATCATATCCTTCTTTTGACTAATTAGGTTACTATTTGCTCCTAAACCTAATTGATCTTTCTTTCTCTCTTTTTGTTTCCTCTCACCGTAAGATACATTCCTCATTGATCAAACCAAACATGTACAATCTCCTCAATTCTTTTCTGGTTTTGTTCTTCCTCTTTTTCTTGTTTCACCATCTTCCTTGTGCTTCAAGCAAACGAAACAATGGGTGGTGTGAATCTCAGTTTCAGTGTGGGAACATCACCGCTGGTTTCCCCTTCTGGGGAGGGACTCGTCCTCGAGTTTGCGGTCACCCATTGCTAGAGCTTAGCTGCCTTGACAATTACAACACCACCTCTTTAAAAATCTCAGACCTTTTGTACCGAGTGATCAGTATAAATTATACATATAACACTATTAGAATTGCAAGAACAGACTTCTTACAGTCCATTTGCCTCTCTTCATATCCGTTTGCAAATACGACTTTGCCTCGAGAAATATTCGACGTTTTGCCAACCTACAAGAGCGTCACATTCTACCGTTGCTACCCTGTTCTTCCTAACCTTGCAAGGTACGGATGTCCTGCCATAGGTTCGGTCTCAGTGTCTACCAGACTTGAACATCCTGTTAGCTGCGAAGCCCGTTTCGGCGTGAACATTCCCACGAGCTTCGTTACAACAGAGAAAAATCTGAACATAACAAATTTGGTAAGTGATGTAAGAAATGGATTTGAAGTGAAGTGGAAGATCGATGAGAATTCGTGTCTCGAATGTTCGTCCTCTCATAAATATTGTGGCTTCACCGAAACCTTTCCATTAGACGTTAAATGCCGACCAATCCATCCACCAACCGGTGGTAAGTTTCTTAAGCATCACTTTCAATATCATTACATATCATTTTCTTTCACAACTAAGTGAAACTGAAAATATCATTGTTGCAGGCTTTTCTTCTCAAGCAAAAACAGGTGTTTAAGTGTTTTACCTTCTCCTATTCTTTCAAATAACCTTAATTTCGTTATGCATACTATTTTTGATCTTCTATATAACCAAAAACTTTTGTGGTTTCAGCTACAATTGTAGGTGTTTCTCTGATTCCATTCCTTGTCTTAACATTGGTTGTCCAAATTTTCCGAAAGAGAAAAACTTCAACTGATCTTGGCCAAAAGGATCTCAAGGAACGTATTCCACAACCAAGACTCAAAGCACTTATACCACTAAAGCAGTATAGCTACGAACAAGTAAAGAGAATTACAAACTCATTTGAGGAAGTGGTCGGGAGAGGCGGATTTGGAACTGTCTATAGAGGAACCCTTTCTGATGGTCGTATGGTTGCAGTGAAAATCTTGAAGGACTTAAAGGGTAATAATGGTGAAGACTTCATCAATGAAGTTTCAAGCATGAGCCAAACTTCTCATGTTAACATCGTTACCCTGTTAGGATTCTGCTCTGAAGGTTACAAGAGAGCAATTATTTACGAATTTATGGAAAATGGGTCTCTTGATAAGTTCATTTCAAGCAAGAAGTCATCAAACATGGACTGGAGTGAAGTGTATGGTATCGCGCTAGGCGTTGCTCGTGGTCTAGAGTACTTACACCATGGCTGCAGAACAAGGATTGTACATTTCGACATAAAACCACAAAATGTACTCTTAGATGACAATCTTTCTCCAAAAGTTTCAGACTTTGGCCTTGCTAAGCTCTGCGAGAGGAAAGAAAGCATACTGTCACTTATGGACACGAGAGGAACGATAGGTTACATTGCACCTGAAATGTTTTCAAGAGTGTACGGTAGAGTCTCGCACAAGTCAGATGTGTATAGCTATGGAATGTTGGTTCTTGAGATAATTGGAGCAAAGAACAAGCCACCAAATGAAGACACTTCATCTAGCACCAGCTCTATGTATTTTCCTGAATGGATATATAAGGATCTTGAGAAAGAAAACAGTGGAAGAGTTCTCGATAATGGAATGAAGAGCGAAGAAGATGAGATAGAAAAGAAGATGAGGTTGGTGGGTTTGTGGTGTATTCAGTCATGGCCATCAGATCGCCCATCAATGAACAGAGTTGTAGAGATGATGGAAGGAGACCTAGATGCTCTTGAAGTTCCTCCTAGACCTGTTTTGCAATGTTCTGTAGTGCCTCATCTCGACTCTTCCTGGATATCAGAGGAGGATTCAATCTCCTCTAGGATATGATTTTTTCTCCACAACTGTAAATCACAACAAGCTTTTAGTTTATGAGAAAACGTCTTTGGTGTAACTAAAGATGTATCATTATTGAACTTCAAAGCAACAGCTAATGATCATCTAATCCAAAACAAAACAGAGGATAAAACAGAACACATATGTCTATGAATGTTTTAGTACTCTTTGATAACAAACATACACATGAAAAGGTCTCAAGTTTTGTTTGACCGTTTACTTTCTCGTTGTTGGGGCAAAGAAGGTCTAATCACAGTGTTGACGTTTCCGAATCTTATAAGTCTACTTTGGTCGATAAGTTTGATACCTTTTTTTTTAGTGGATGAAGAAAACAAAGCTTGGTAGTGATATGATTGATTAGTAAGGGATTTGTTTGTTAGGTTTTTTTTCCTGTCTTCAAGAGTATATGTAAGTTATTTTCAATGAAATTTGAGTTATGCACTTATATGTGTATGTTGTAAGAAAAGTTATGTTCTAGTAGAAAAAAAATAGTTTTGTGTAATTTTTGTAGTGCCATCTCTTCTGATTTACTCACAAGAGATTAGTTTAACTACTTCTTCATCTCCCCTAATTAGCGTTTAACTCTTCACTAATTTAATTTTCTTAATGACTTTTATTTTATTTTTATATAGTGGATCCACTACTCTCTTCCACTTATTGCACTTTTGGAATATGGAACGAGAAGAAATAAAAATTATTCCATCTCCAGCGAATTGGCATTAACATTTTATTAATCATTCTCTTCCCACTTATTGCACTATCTTCTTCTTCACAAAGACTCAAATGTTTCAACGAATAAAATAATATAACATGACATTTGGTTACAAAGACCAAAACATAAGTTAAAAGTCCAACTCTTACATTTATATACAAAACACACTCACCAATCTCTTCATCTCCTTTCTTCTTTTTCACGTTACCATTTTTTTAATGTTTACTTGCAATACAATGAACAGTCTGTTTCCATCCATTAGAATCATATGGTTTCTCTTTATGATACCATCATGTGTTTTCTCAGCTAATGATCTTTATAAACACTGCAGTCAACCGTTTCAATGCGGCGATCAGAGGAGTCTCTTGTACCCTTTCTGGATTCCTGGCAGAGAAGACTGCGGCCACCCGAAGTTCAAGCTCGATTGCAACACAAGTTTTGCAGAGGTTAGCTTCTCCTCTGTGAAGTTCAGAATCTTAGACGCGGATTACATAACTCCTAAGATAAGACTAGCTCGGTCGGATTTTATCAGCAATGTTTGTCCTCATGCTCCTTTAAATGTGTCCTTTGAGGACAACGTTCTTCCGTTTGGTCCTAACACCGATCTGCTAACGATTTATTACGAGTGCAACTTTTCGCGTGAAGTTTATACTTTTGGTGGTATGCTTGGTTGTCCTAGTGATAAGTCTGATCACAAAAGAAACTACTATGTGACGAGGAACCTCTCTTCTCCTCTACTTCAAGGGATCAGTTCATCTTTAAACGACTTTAAAAGATTTTGCGCAAGAAACGTTAGTATTCCTGCATCTGGACCTTCCCTCAACACACTCCAGACAAGTCCCAGCGCAGAGAATCTAGAGAAGGCTCTTGAAAACGGTTTTGAGCTTGGACTTAACCAAGAATGTCTGATGTGCAGAGGTTCTGGTGGTGCTTGTGGATTTAACCAGAGCTCTAATGGATTCATTTGCTATTGTTTAGATGGAACACGTAAGGGTACTTGCGGTTCAAGGAAAAAGGGTAAGACTTTTCTTGCCTACATAGTGCTAGTTTTGTTATGTTTGTGTATTGAGTTTTAAATGATCTTTGGTTCTGTTCCATTGATGTAGGAATCTCTTATGGAGTTGGAGTAAAGATAGGTGCTTAACCTTTTCCTCTTCTTCAAATATACTTTATTTGATCATGAATACTATTTTTTAATCTTCTTGATGATTTTGTTTTTCTATTTTCTTACTTTAGGTTTAGCAGTTGGTGTTACTCTGTTCCTGATCTTGGTCTTAACGTTGTTAGTTCTAAGAAGAAAAAGATCGCATGATCTTGGTCGTGAGAACCACAAGACACTAAATCCACAACCAAAACTCAAAGCACTTATTCCACTAAAGCAGTATAGTTACGTGCAAGTGAAGAAAATTACAAAGTCATTCGCGGAACAAGTTGGGAAAGGCGGGTTTGGAACTGTTTATAAAGGAACCCTTGGTGATGGCCGCATGGTTGCAGTGAAGGTTTTGAAAGACTCAAAGGATAATGATGGTGGAGACTTCATCAATGAAGTTGCAAGCATGAGTCAAACTTCTCATGTCAATATTGTTACTCTCCTAGGATTTTGCTCTGAAGGTTCCAAGAGAGCAATTATTTATGAATTCCTCGAAAATGGGTCTCTCGATAAGTTCATCTCAGACCAGACCTCGATGGATATAGATTGGACGACACTTTCTAGAATTGCGCTTGGAGTTGCTCGTGGTTTAGAGTACTTGCACCATGGCTGCAAAACAAGAATTGTACATTTTGACATAAAACCTCAAAATGTACTCTTAGATGATAACTTTGTACCCAAAGTTTCAGACTTTGGTCTTGCTAAGCTTTGCGAGAAGAAAGAGAGCATATTGTCAATGCTAGACACAAGAGGGACAGTAGGGTACATTGCACCAGAGTTATTTTCAAGAATGTACGGTAGAGTTTCCCACAAGTCAGATGTGTATAGCTATGGTATGTTGGTTCTTGAGATGATAGGAGCAAGGAACAAAGAAAAAGCTGCTCAAACCTCTGCATCAAACACAAGCTCAATATATTTTCCTGAATGGATATACAAAGATCTTGAGAAGGGAGACATTGGAAGGCTTATCGAAGATGGAATAGGCATTGAAGAAGAGGAGCTAGCAAAGAAGATGACATTGGTGGGTTTGTGGTGTATACAATCTTCTCCATCAGATCGCCCAGCGATGAATAGAGTTGTAGAGATGATGGAAGGAAACCTTGATGCTCTTGATGTCCCTCCTAGACCTGTTTTCCAAATTCCATCAATGTCTTTTGAAGAATCTTCTACCCTTTCAGAGGATATATCAGGTTCCACAGACTTGTGTTCCATCAATGTTGCATAAAGAAAGAAATCTCCTTGAACCATATCAAGATGACAACAAATACCTTTATGTCAATGTAATATACTAATACCATATACATAACTAGAGTGTTTTTGTAATGTTATAATCAATTTTCATTGTTATATTCTTATAGTCCAACCATATCATTATCCTTTATTTATTAACTAGAGAGAAAGAGTACACTAAACTTTTTTGTTCACCAAATATTTTGTAATTTTACTTTTTTTTTTTTCAAATAATTTTACTTTTTTCCTATATTTTAGGAGATTTGGTGATAGAGAAATATTTTTCCTATATTTTGAATAAAATATAGAAATATTTCTCTATCACTATTTTTCCTATATTTTGAACAAAATATAGAAATATTTTTGTTCAAAAAAGTTGTTTTTGAAAGGGGATTTAATGTACAACACACAATGAAAAATATTTCTCTATCACTATTTCGTTTTTCAGCGTCAACTAATAAAGACAAATGTTATAAAAAGTCTCCTAGTCTCTCTGTATTTTCTAGTCGACACTATCCTCTCTTAGTCCTTCAGAACCATTACTGTTTCTACTTGTTTTCTATTGATCTTGGTTCCTCTCAACACAAGAACAAACTGATCATGAACTATCACCCCATTTCTTGTCTATTGTTTTTCTTCCAATCTCTTCCTTGTGCTTCAAGTAAACAAGAACTTGGATTGTGTGATACTCTGTTTCAGTGCGGTAACATCACCGCTGGTTTTCCCTTTTGGGGAGGGAATCGTCACAAAGATTGCGGTCATCCATTGCTCGAGCTTCACTGCGACAACAACATCAACAAGAACACCTCTCTATTCATCTCAGAAGAAGAATACTCTGTTTTTCAACTAGATCAAAAATCTAACACTCTTAAACTTGCCAAAACAAAGCTTTTAAGCTCTTTTTGCTCCTCTGTGACCTCTGAAACATCCTTCCCTACAGATATTTTCGAGCTTTTACCAACCTATAATCACCTCCCCGTTTCCTACCTCTGCATCTCTTCCACTCATAACCTTTCCACTCATACATGTCCTCAGATGGGTTCAAACTCAGCGTCTGAAAACCTTAAATATCATAAGACCTGACTTCAAAGTTTCAACGTGACCGTTCCTACGAGTTTCGTTACAAAAGAGAAAGAGTTGAATATGACCAATTTGAAACAGGTTTTACAAAAAGGATTTGAGGTGAAGCTGAAGATTGATGAGAATGCGTGTCAAGATTGTGTATCCTCTCATGGAATCTGCAGCTTTGGCGAAACATTTCCATATGAATTTAATAAATGCATTCCACTCCATCCACTCCATCAACCAACTGGTAAGTTTCTGATTGACTTTGCCATAATTTTAAACATAGTTTTTAAATTTTCGATGATTATATGACAGGATGGATTGTAAGACGGGAAGAATTGTAATATGCTTTCAACGGATTATATAACGGGATGAGTTTGAATTGATATTACCAGAAAATTTATATATAATTAATTTTATACTTCAAATTTCAATAAGAATAATGTTTTTTTACTAATTTTTAACAACACCAATATATATAACATGTAGGAATAATACAATCAAACTAATTTATGCAAAACTTTATAATTATTATTTAAACTCCGAAAAAAAAACTGCAAAAATATCTGTAAACGTTTTTAAAAATATGACTTATAAAAAAAATGTTTGCGTAGTTTCGGAGATAATATGATAGGGATTTAATGAGCAAGACACAATGAACAATATTTCTCTATAATAATTTCATTTTTTCAGCGTCAACTAATAAAGACAAATGTTAAAAAGAAAAGTCTCTCTGTATTTTTCAATAGTCACAATCTTTTCTTGGTCCTTCAAAACCATTACTGTTTCTCTCTCTCTCTCTCTCTCTCTCTCTCTCTCTCTCTCTCTCTCTCTCTCTCTCTCTCTCTCTCTCTCAAACAAACACACACTGTGTTTAAGTTTTTTTTCTTTCCCCCTCCCCCCCACCCTTCCGCACTTATCTACCCTACACATAAAGAAAAATAAGAGAACAAACGTGTGTGTGGGTATGTGGGTGAGTGTGTGTGTCTCTCCGGGGAGGGTGGTGGGGTGGGAGAGATGAATACACATAGAGATCTACATCGATCGCGCTCGCTCTCGATCAGGCTCTATCTATATATCTGTATCTATCTATCGATCTCTCTCTCTCTATCTCTCACACACTCTCTATAACACTCACACAGTCAGGATGTCTAGGGTTGCATGTGAAATGATATGTACAATCACAAGACACCACACACAGAGCATCTATGTGCGATGCGTGGGGACTACACGACTAGACACCAGTCAGCGCACACGACATTGAGTTGTCTACTCTCGTATAGATTGTTTACCCGCGAGGAAGAGCATGAAGGAGTCGATAGTTTTCTATCAAATTTTTCTTTTAAACTGAAACGGGATGCCAAGGTTGCAGTCGGTGCAATGACCCTGTGCAAAATCTACGTTACATTGAAGGTACCGATGACCTGACAATAGATATTGACTAGCTCATGAAAATGTAAAGGAAAAGTAAAAACAAACCACGGCAGGAA